CAGCAGCTACCCTGCGAGTTTGGAGCCTCTCCCTCAAACCCCCTCCCCTCCACCCCCCAGAATATACCCTATGTTTTCGCCTTTGACTTCAATGGCCCATAGGATATAATGGGGCCGAAACTGACATTTGGCTGGCCCTTTTTCTGGCCCAGCGTTCTAGCGCGGAGCCTGAAAAAGGCAGGGAGGGCAGCTCAGCAGTCCCCCCATGGGCGTTGCAGCTGCTGCCGAGAACAGTGGCAGGGGGCATAACTTTTTAAGGAACCCCGAAGGAGAGCTGGGGGAGCCAAAATAACCTCCACGCAAGAGGTAGAATTTGCCCCTATGAGTCCAAGGCCACCTCAGGGAGGCAAGGGAATGTTTCCCCCCACTGCCCCCCCCCTGCGCGGGCGGGTGTCGCAGGCGCCGAGAACAGTGGCGGCCATAACTTTTTAAAGAGCCCCTGCGGAGAGCTGGGGGAGCCAGAATGACCTCTCGTGTGTGATGAGCGGCAACGCCACTCGGACCTCACGCGAGAAGTGGAATTTGTGCCTACAAGTCCAAGGACACCACCCCGGGGCTCAGGGAGGCGAGGGAGACGCGGGCGCGGAGAACAGCGGTGGCGGCCATAACGTTTTAAAGAGCCCCTCCAGAGAGCTGGGGGAGCCGGAATGACCTCTGGCGTGTGATCATTCGAACTGGCGGCACAGAGGGTTGAACTTGGGCCTTCCGCCCTGCCAAAGGCAATGCTCTTCCGTGAAGCCACAGCCCCAGTTCACAGTCCAAACATCCAGCTTGGTGCCCGAAGGGGTGGTGGTGTTTGTTTAATGCTTGCTTTGAGAAAAAACAGTAACCTTTCCCCTCCACGCACGCACACTTTTATTTATATCAAGATGGGAAGCCGTGTTTGTCTGTAGAAAAGCGCAAGAGTCCAGGAGCCACCTTAAAGACGCACAAAAATATGTGGCAGAGGGGATGAGTCCCTCCTCAGGTATCTGAAGAAGTGAGCGGCGACTGAGGAAAGCTCACCCCCTGCCACATATATTGTGAGTCTTTAAGGTGGCTCCTGGACTCTTGTTTCTCTTCGCACGCCCATACGAGGAGAGGGCGCGCTTTCTAAGTCCCGCCAACGCTTTTCTTTTCCTTCAGTTCCAAGAGAGGCGAAACTCTGGGCCGGCGGGGGCGAAGTTCGCGTGGCCTCGCCCTACTCCGCCCCGCCTCGGCCGCTGCTTCTCAACCTCCTCTCAGCGCTCGGGGCTCCATGGCGCGATGGGAGCCGGAGGCGCTGTCGACCCGCGGGCCGCTCTGCGAGTTGTGCGCGCCTCAGGAGGAGCCGAGGACGGCGGCGTGGACCTGCCTGACCTGCCTGAGCTCGTTCTGCGGGGCCCACGCGCGGCCCCACCCGGGCGCGGAGGACGCTGGCGGCGTGGCCGGCCCGGCTTTCCGAGGCCACCGCGTGTGCCCGGCCGAGGAGGCGGCGGAGGAGCTGCGGAGCCTGCGGGAACTGGCGCGCTCGTGCGCAGACCACCGCGGCCGCCCCTTGGAGCTCTTCTGCGAGGAGTGCGCGCTCTGCGTGTGCGCGCTCTGCCCGGCGCTGGGCCCCCACCGCGGCCACCGGGTCAGCCTCATCGCCCAGGCGGCCGGACGGAAACAGGTAAGGGAGGCTCCAAAGAGGCCGCCGCTTCTGTGCCTCCTGGGTGGGAGACTGTGGCTTTTCTGTGGTGTCAAAGGAACACAGAAGGCCAGTTGAGCTTCCTCTCTTGGGCGCACACGCTCAGTGGAATGCGAAAATAGGGGTGTCTCGTGTCTCGGAACCTCAACGAGGCTGCCAACTCTTTCGCTAGCCTCTGCTCCTGTGCTTTTTAAACCTCAGTTTGTTTTCCCGCCACGAATTTGGCTACTAAGATTTTCTGTGGCATGGAGAACTTTTGCCCTGGGGGTTGTGTAGATCAAGTGGCTGTTAAGAGCACAGGAGCAGGCCAGTGGTAGTTTTGCTTATGGTCAGTTGGCACCTCGCACTACGCAGTGTCTTCCATTATAAATAATCCCAGAGGATTATATATAATCCCTGTTGGCCTTTTGCTGCAGAATCGAACAGGAGTCCAGTGGCACCATAAAGACAAGCTACATTTATTCCAGTTTAAAGCTTTTCCTGTGGAGGGAAGATGGGATAGTATAGGTCGATCTCATCAGATCTTGGAAGCTAAGCAGAGTCAGTGCTTGGAAGGGAGACCGCCAGGGAAGACTCTGCAGAGAAAGACAAGGGCAAACTGCCTCTGCTTCTCACTTGTCTTGAAAGTGCCTTGCTGGCGTCTCCCTCCCTCCCTCCCTCCCTGGCTCAAGAAAGTTTATGCTGGAATGAACCTTGTTAGTCTTGAATGTGCCAGTTGACTTCTGTTTTATTTTTCATATTGGACAGGTAGCCTTCTTGCAAGTGCTGGGAAAACAATACCGCCTCATGCCATCCTTCCCCCTCCCCTGGGCTTTTCTGGACAGCAACGCTGCATCTTGAGTCTCCTGCACTTCTTAGCTGTAGGGAATCCAGATGTTTTGCGGACTCAAAACGATTCCACTCCCCAAGAATCAGCAAAGGAAGAAGGAATCAGCTTTCCTGCTCCCGTAGGCACTGAGTGCTGTATGTGCATTGCATGCAGTGACTTCTTATAAGACGCAAATGTGCCCCTTTTCATGGTACATTTGTATGTCTTGGTGTGTGGTGCGAGAATTACATTGTAAGGACAGAAATATTGTGTCTGCCAGGGATCCCCCAGCCTTTTTATTTAGCTTGCAGTTATCTTTGGCATTCTGACACAGGATGGGGGGGCCTGTGGAGGAGTGGGGAATCAAACCCAGTTCTCCCAGATTAGAGTCCACACTCCTAACCACTACACCAAACTGGCTTTCTTAAACCAGTAACTTAAAAAAATATATGTTGCTGAAGGCATTTAAAAATACACTGGAAAGAGGAGTGAGAGAGAATAAAACAACACTGTAGAGGCAGCTGCCACTGAAACAATGTTATTTTAATCTGCCTGGATCTCCAGTGGCCAATCAAAAGCTGTGTTGGGCAAATGCCTGCCCTCGCCCCCCCTCACTTGCTAACAACACTTTGTGGGCACCAGGAAAGGTGTGGTGGACCCCAAAGCACTCATGAGGAGGAGGAGAAGAGGAGATTGGATTTAGACCCTACCCTTCACTTTGAGTCTCAGAGTGGCTTACAATCTCCTTTCCCTTCACCTCCCCACAGCAGACACCCTGTGAGGTAGGTGGGGCTGAGAGAGCTCTGACAGGACTGCTTTTGCGACAACAGCTCCAAGAGAACTTGTGACTGATCCAAGGTCACACCAGCAGCTGCATGCAGAGGAGTGGGGAATCAAACCTGGTTCTCCCAGATTAGAGTCCACACTCCTAACCACTACACCAAACTGGCTCTTACCGTGTGGGGTATGCAATTTGGGAGTTTATAATAAAATATCTATTTTTCTGTCACTGTGAATTGGTTCCAGTATACCAACCAACTCGCATTCTTCATCTATTGGTTACTCTTCCAAGAATAGGCAAACCCCCTCACTATTTTTTTTTTTAGCTTGCAGTTATCTTTGGGATTCTGACACAGGATGGGGGGGGTGCAACCAAAAAAATGGCTGCCAAAGGAGATGGAGCCAATCACAAAAGGGGTGCTGCCGGAGGTGGAGTCACACACACGGAGGAAGCCCAATTGCAGGGGGGGAAGGGGGATTTAAAAATACACTGGAAAGAGGAGTGAGAGAGAATAAAACAACACTGTAGAGGCAGCTGCCACTGAAACAATGTTATTTTAATCTGCCTGGATCTCCAGTGGCCAATCAAAAGCTGTGTTGGGCAAATGCCTGCCCTCGCCCCCCCTCACTTGCTAACAACACTTTGTGGGCACCAGGAAAGGTGTTGGTGGACCCCAAAGCACTCATGAGGAGGAGAAGAAGAGGGGATTGGATTTACTTCTTATAAGACGCAAATGTGCCCCTTTTCATGGTACATTTGTATGCCGGTGTGTGGTGCGAGAATTACATTGTAAGGACAGAAATATTGTGTCTGCCAGGGATCCCCCAGCCTTTTTTTTTTTTAGCTTGCAGTTATCTTTGGGATTCTGACACAGGATGGGGGGGGTGCAACCAAAAAAATGGCTGCCAAAGGAGATGGAGCCAATCACAAAAGGGGTGCTGCCGGAGGTGGAGTCACACACACTGAGGAAGCCCAATTGCAGGGGAGGAGGGTGTAATTTAAAAATACACTGGAAAGAGGAGTGAGAGAGAATAAAACAACACTGTAGAGGCAGCTGCCACTGAAACAATGTTATTTTAATCTGCCTGGATCTCCAGTGGCCAATCAAAAGCTGTGTTGGGCAAATGCCTGCCCTCGCCCCCCCTCACTTGCTAACAACACTTTGTGGGCACCAGGAAAGGTGTGGTGGACCCCAAAGCACTCATGAGGAGGAGGAGAAGAGGAGATTGGATTTAGACCCTACCCTTCACTTTGAGTCTCAGAGTGGCTTACAATCTCCTTTCCCTTCACCTCCCCACAGCAGACACCCTGTGAGGTAGGTGGGGCTGAGAGAGCTCTGACAGGACTGCTTTTGCGACAACAGCTCCAAGAGAACTTGTGACTTATCCAAGGTCACACCAGCAGCTGCATGCGGAGGAGTGGGGAATCAAACCTGGTTCTCCCAGATTAGAGTCCGCACTCCTAACCACTACACCAAACTGGCTCTTACCATTTTGGGTATGCAATTTGGCAGTTTCTAATGAAATATCTATTTTTCTGTCCCTGTGAATTGGTTCCAGTATACCAACCAAGAATAGGCAAACCCCCTCACTATTTGAGTTGCCTTTGTGCTGTCAGCAACACTGAAAGGAATAACCATGGTGGTTCATGTTTTGCAAATGTGGAATGGAAACCTGAGTTAATTTTGTCCAGGATTGTTCAGGAATTAGTCATGCACTCATTCGTTTTTGAACCATGTTTCAAATGGCGAAGTACAGTTGTGGAATCAAATGTGAATGGTGTACAGGTGCCTCAATGGCCAGGTTCCGACAAACGTGATACCCCCCCCACACACACACACACACACAAAACCCCTTTTGGTATATATTAAAACAAAACAGTTGATACTTGGCACTTTTTGTCCCAGAGCTGAAAAAGCAAAGCAGGAGTCTGTTTCTGTAAGCCACTGGCAGAACCCAAGAACACACCAGTACCAAAGTAGCTTTAAAAAAACAACAACCCGCTCTTAGCTCACTGATTAAAATTGGTCCCCACTGATCACTCAATGAAAACAAGCATGTAAGGAACCACCTGACACCAGGTAAAGAAGCCCTTGTCCACAGGAAGAGACAGAGCTCTCTCCTTTAGTCCCTGTAGGCTGATGGTTTGCCGCAGATGGTTCATGTGAGTGTGCAGAGGCAGGCAGTCTAGTAAACATTATTGTGGGTTAGTATTTTGCGGTGTGAGGGGAATTTAGTCTCAGGGCTAGTCCAAAGCTTGGAATAGATGGGTTAAATACGATAACCCTAATTGTTTGCACGCAAATATAAGCAGTTTTGCAGACTCTTAATGCTTTGGGCAACCAGGCCTTCATCACAGAATTTTTAGCAGGAGCCTTTCAAACCTGAATGATCTAAGCTGATGACAGCTGCTGCTGATGTGAAATAATGGCTAAGACTGAGGACTAAATTAGGAAGACTCTGATCTGAGCATTGCCTTTGCCATAAACTGGGCAGCCCCTAACTAATGTGAGGCAGAGATAACAACAGTATACGTGGCATTCTTATCCCACTCTTCCTTCCAGGAGCTCAGAGCAGTCAGCATTGTCCGCCTCTCCCTGTTCCATTTTGCCCTCACAACAACCCTGTGAGGTAGACTAAGGTGAGAGAGACTGTTCCAAAGTTACTCAAGGAGCTCCTTGGCTTGGGTGAGGAGATCTGTCAGATAACGAAAAACCAAGGTCATTATTGGTCATAGATTTTGCAGAAGAAAGAAGGGGATGGATCAAGGAATGACGTATGTTGCACAGAGTCAGGTTCATTGTAAAGACAGGTACAGACTCTTTCTTTATAAGGAATACCCTTATGTCTGCCTGTCAAAATAGCCGAGTGGAAGAAATTGAACCTGGCAAGCATGAAAGCTCTACAGTTGTGAGGGGTTTACCAAATTAGAAAGGTACTGCGCCATAGAATCTTGTGTGGGGAAAAGACTCCAGAGCTACCAGCATTAATAACTTGAGCTTCAGTGTCCCAAATCCTCTTTCAGACAATCCGAAGAATATCCATTTCAGCAGAATTGGCAAAAAAAAATCCAGATCAATACCAATGGATTTGATTTTAGACACTATGAACTGGGACCAATTTGAGGTGTAAGGGTCTGCAGGGAGGAGAGCAATAAGATTTGAACTGTTCTACTCAGAAGTCAGTCCCATGTTATGAAGTGGGGCTTATTCCTAGGAAATTGCCTTCAAGGTTGCACCCTGGGTCTTTTAACTCATAATCCAACAGTGTAATCACCGCACCACATTGGCTGTCTCTGATAACCTTCCTTACAGAGTTCTTGTAAGGGTTATTTTAAAAAAGTGAATGGAAGTGCCTTGAGCGCTTGACAGCACTATACAAATGCTGAGTATTTATTTCCTGCTGCTTTCGGAAGTAGTAACAAGTTTGGTGAGAAGATCCATTCGTTGCCATCTTATTTCCCATATAATTCAACCACTCCCTTCCCTTGTGCCAGACTGCTAAACAGTTTTAAAGAACTGGTTTGTTGTAGCAAGTGAGGACTGTTTTTCACTTACTCTGCAGGCCTGTTATTCCTACAGTAACCCAGATTATCTGGGCAAGGATGGAGGGGAAGTGTAAGCTTTCCATAGACAGCTGGCCCCGCTGGAGATGGAATGCTGGGTTAGATTGAACGTTGATCTGATCCAGCCAGGCTCTTCTTTACCATGTCTAATTCTGAACTCTGCACAAGGATGTGGATCAAAAAATCCACACAGTGTGGCCCACATGAGGATAGGGGACGTGTTTCTACAAACCTGGGAGAATTCCCAGGTTTTTCAGGGGGGAAAAAATCTGAAACCTAAAAATAAAGGTTAAAAAAACTCAAATCATAGACATGGTGTTTGTGCAAGTGTAAATATGAACACCTTTTTTTTGGTAGCACAATTCGAATTCTTGCGAGGCTACACCATGAGATCTGTGGCTGTTTTGGGATCGCTAGACAGCCCCAAACAACGTTGCTGAGGTTTCCATATGAGGGATAGAGCCTGAAATAGGTAGGTAGGTAGGTAGGTAGGAAAATGGGAGTCAAGGAAGCATGGGAAAGAGAGGGGAGGAGGGACCAGAGGGAAAATGGAAGACTGGGGAGGGGACTTAAGTGAGGGGGCAGGACCAGAGGGAAAGGGGCAGGTCACAGGTGTTGCCTGGGGGAGGAGGACCAACAGTGGGGGGGGGATGTGATTTCCCCCCACCATGCAAGTCCTTGCAGTTTCCCTACTGGAGCTTTATATTAATAGTAGAACTGTGATGAAAATAAGCTGCTATTTCAGTTGCGTGCTTTCTTACACACAACACAGGCGATCATGGCGTCATATCTGAAGCAGTTATCAATGAAGAAGCAGCAGGAGATTGACAACACGAAGCATATTGAAAAAGCTACTAATGAACTTAAGGTGAGGTGAAAATGGAAAATGTTCTTTTATTCCTTATACGCACATGGGTATCCACAGCTTTGAATATGGGTCCCTGCCCGTAGGAATTTGCAGTCTGAATTCACCAGAAGAGGAGACCAAGGGAAATAGACAAGACACCATTTGTGGATCTCTTTTCATTTATTCAGAACTGTGTACCTGCTTAATTTTTTTTTTTTTAGAAAGGCTGGAGGAAGGCCTGGGTGGCTGTCATCACCATCCCAACATGGTTTACTGTTTTATCTGTCTGGCACCTAAAATGATTTTTAAATCACTGTTTTATTAATTTTTCCAATAACAGGATTCTTCTCTCACAATGCTGACAACTGTGTATGGCGCAGGTGTGAACTTTTACATTAAAAGTTATAAAGGATGTTCAGTGGATGACAGAGAATCCTCAACTCAAATTGTACTGATGTATATTTATGTCTTCTAGAATATTTTAATCCTCAGTAAAAACTTGTCTTTTCTTAACTGCCCCCCCCCCATTATATGCAGAATTCATCCATGTCACTAACTTTGCTGTGCATCTTGTCTTTCTGAACCATTCTTTTATGGAAGGAACATTTGCAGGAAATTAGTGGTTTTGCAGGAATGAATGTGTTTTGCCAATGTCTAGAACATAGATATTCCAGCAACACCGTTAATGTACTCTAAGAACACAATATCCAGGCTCAATGCTATAGTAGTCCTGATTATATACAAATTAGGGCTGGACTCGATGTTACAAAGGGAAGGAACTTGTTTCCTGCCTTTTTATTTCTCTTGTTAATTCTCCTAAAGCATCGCTGGATGATGCTTAACCTTCCCCCTCCCCATCCGCCAGTTCCTTTATGTTGGCACGCCTTAATGCCTTACCACAGAGTATGGCCAGGGAGGTATCTTAAGATGCCATACTCTGATAGATTGAGATGGGCAGCCGTGTTAGTCTGTCTGCAGCAGTAGAAAAGAGCAAGACTCCAGTAGCGCCTTAAAGGTAAAGGTTCCCTTGCTCGAAAGCCAGTCGAATCCGACTCTAGGGTTGCAGTGCTCATCTCCGTTTCAAAGCCGAAGAGCCAGCGCTGTCCGAAGACGTTTCCGTGGTCATGTGGCCGGCATGACTAAACACCAAGGCGCACGGAACGCTGTTACCTTCCCACCGAAGTGGTACCTATTTATCTACTTGCAATTTCTTGCTTTCGAACAGCTAGGTTGGCAGGAGCTGGAACTAGAGACGGGAGCTCACTCCGTCTTGCGGCACACTCGGGTCTC